CGAAACAAACTCAGAGGTCACAGTCTCTTTTAAAGTCCAGACATAACTAACAAGATTATGTGAAGACCATGTAGATTGTTGCCTGAAATGGTCTTTTGAGGAAAGAACCACACAGATTGAGTGGACCTGTCAAGTCCAAAGACAAGACATTTGGGTAGGCCGCGAAAATTACTCAAACTGTCAGACTATGACTAAAACTGAGAAAAGGATTCAATAAATAAAAAACAATGATCCACGTAGTCTTCACATTCACAATAATACAAAATTGTATAAATAATACTTTACAAAGTAAATATTCATTTAATTGTACATAGAGTGTGTAAAAAGGTATTTAAATCAACATTAATTGTGCAAATTTATTGGAGCAGCTCAATCCCAAGCCTTTTTGTCCTCAATATAGTCTTTGACAGTATAAAAGGCTTTCTGACAAAGTTTCCGCTTTATACTATTTTTGAATTTATTAAGGCTTAGTTCTTGAATGTGGCTAGGTAGTTTATTATAAATACGTATACATTGGCATCTAAACGAATCACTTATTTTTTTAAGCCTGGTTGTAGGGACAACAAATTTGTGTTTGTTTCTAGAATTTACGTTATGGACGTCACTGAATTTTTTAAACAAATTGATATTTTTATGAGCATACAAAAGATTTTCATAGATATACTGAGAAGGCACAGTCATTATATTAATTTCTTTAAATTTATCTCTGAGGGAGTGTCTGGGACTTAATTTGTAAATTGAACGAATAGCCCTTTTTTGTAAAACAAAAATTGTCTGAATATCGGCGGCATTTCCCCACAACAGAATACCGTACGACATCACACTATGAAAATAACTAAAGTAAACTAAACGGGCTGTCTCTAAACAAGTTAAATCACGAATTTTCCTAACGGCGTATGCTGCAGCGCTAAGCTTTTTCGACAATTTATCTATATGGGGGCCCCATTGAAGTTTGGCATCCAAAGTTATGCCCAAGAACACTGTGGTATCTTCAGGAATCAACTCTTCGCCCTTTATGAGAACACTAGTTTTTACTTGTCTAACATGAGGTATAGTAAACTTAATACACTTAGTTTTTTTCTCGTTAAGAAGTAGGTTATTAACATTAAACCAGTTAACTACTTTTGCGAGGGCGCTATTTATATTGTCAGTAACCAGCTGCTGACGTTTGAGTTTAAATAAAAGTGAAGTGTCATCTGCAAACAACACTATATCAAGATTATCCTTTATGAGGTAAGGCAAGTCATTAATATAAATAAGAAACAAAAACGGGCCCAGAATAGAGCCCTGGGGGACACCCATTGTTACTATGGATCCGGGTGATCTTTTCCCGTTAACATCAACTCTTTGAATCCTATCACTTAAGTAAGAAGTGAGGAGATCCAGAGAGGCGTTCCGGATTCCGTAGTGATGCAGTTTCCTGATTAATGTTTCATGAAGAACGCAGTCGAATGCCTTGGACAAATCACAAAAGATGCCCAAAACATCGCATTTATCCTCCCATGCATTATAAACATGGCCTAAAAGTTCAACACCGGCATCAGTGGTCGAACGACCCCTTGTAAAACCAAACTGTTTGTTATGTAATAATTTATGTTTATTAAAAAATCTTTGCAGTTGATCTAAAATAACCCTTTCAAAAATTTTACTAAAGGTAGGTAGCACTGAAATAGGTCTATAATTAGTAGGGTCAGATGCACTACCCGATTTAAATAACGGTATTATTCTACTATATTTCATAAGATCAGGAAACTCACCACGGTCAATACAGTTGTTAAAAATAACAGCTAGAGTAGGTGCTACAATGTTTATAATTGATTTAGCAACGTCCACAGAATTACCCCACAGATCAGCAGTCTTTTTAATATTTAACGTGTGAACGGTTTTAATTATGTCTCTACAAGTAACATATTGGAAATTAAACTCAGACTCACAAACTGGAACGTTTTCTTTAAGTAAAGACTCTGCAGCAGTGGGTGATGACCTTAGAGATTTAGTAGTTGACGCGGGAAACTCTGCGAAGAACTTTTCAAAGGCCGCGGCGACTTGGGAATCTGATTTAATTATATCGTCATCAATAGCAAGGCTGTAGTCACTACTTCGGTTGCTCGACCTTCCTGTTTCGCTATTAATGATATTCCATGTCATTTTAATTACATTACTACTATTCTTAATTTTTGTACTCAAGTAACGTGACTTGGCCATACAACAAACTTTTTTAAATAATTTAGAATAATTCTTAACATATAAATTAAATTCAGCAGTGTTAATACACGTCCGTTCATCATACAACTCATAAAGTCGTTTTCTACTTTTATGTATACCAAAGGTGGCCCAGTCACTGAAGCAGGTGTTATTATTAACCGAGAATGCCTTTGGAATGAAAGTGTTATCAAATTGAGTGCAATACATATTAAAAAAATCATTATATTGTTCATTAGGGTCATCATTAGTTGACAAAAGTGGTAATTTACTTAACAGTTTAGTTTTAAATGATTCCAAACGATCAGCTGTTTTTGGATTAACAGTGATATCTTTTTTAGTATTTTTTTGTTTAGATTTGGAATAGTAATCAATTGTCCGCAATGATCTGAGTCTATTAAATTAATAATTTCTTTGTGGGTTGGTATAATATTTGTATAAATGTTATCTAGGCATGTGGCACTAGTTGGAGTTATTCTAGTGGGCTCCAAAAATTGGTTGGCAAGGTTGTATGACTGAAACAAACTTATAATTTTTGTGCTTGACCCAGAATTTTCTAACAAATTAACATTAAAATCACCACAAGTGATGATAGACTTGTAAGAATTACAGATTTTGTGCAATACTTCATCCATAACCCTTTCAAAACAATCATACAATCCTGAAGGAGGCCTGTACACGCTTAATATAATGAACTGCTCCAATTCTATACAGGCTAATTCAATTGTCCGCTCAACAGATAGGCTCACAATATCCTTACGATCTTTAAATTTAAGTTGTTTATTTACTAAAATTAATGAGCCACCGTGTATAGCATTTACTCTGCTGAACGAACTACCAACCTGGTGATTGCTAAAATTGAACATGAACTGGTGGCTTTTAAGCCAATGTTCTGTCAAACAAAGAATGTCTATATCGTTACAATTTAGGAATAATTCTACTTCTAAATCTTTGTTCAAAAAACCTTGAATATTTTGATGCACCAGGTTGATACTATTTAAATTTTTTGCACTTTTAGTTGATTTTACCTTCCTTACATTTTGGCAAGAGGTTGCCTCTTTTGTCCCAATTTCTAATTTAAATGAAAATCAATGTCATTAATAATTGTCGCCAAATTATTGGCAGAATTGTTTAAAATATCATTGCGTTGCATTTCTTTAAAATTATATGCTAATAATTTAGCAATTTCTTTTTTTATTTTATATGAGAGATACAATGTATCTTTGGTCAGAGTAAATTTAGTAACAAACTTGTTACAATCAAAATATAAAAATACGTCACTATGACGACATGTCAAATGGTGCATAAATTGATTTAAAATATAAATCTGTTGATTAAATTTATAATCCAAATTGCTAGCATAAGGAAAAGAACAAAGTGTTATTTTACATTTTTTTTCTTTACCAAACTCCAAGAGTTTAGTTATTGTTTTAGTAATGTGGGTTTTTTTTATCCCCATACTGTCACCACAAAATAATATTAATTTAGAGCTACTGTCTACACAATGATAATTTAATATTTTATCTACAATCCCTTGGTAAGATATTCCAGGTAAACAAATATTAAGAACATTTTGAGATAACTCATCTCCTAGTAACTGGCCCAGCCCTTGCCCCAACCTATCTGAAAAGATGTAGGTATTAGTTCTTTGAGTGTTTACATTGCTTGTAAGAGGAAACTCTGGCATGGGGGACTTTGGTGATGAATTATCTTCATTTAGCTGTGAAGGAACTTGGTCATGATAAATCAACCTATTACTTTGCTCAGTAGCACATGCACAATGCTTACTAGTGAGAGATGCATACCTCTCAGTACTATAATTACACAGATCAATCATGTCATGCCTCGCAGATACTTGGTATTCCATAATTTTTTTAAACATGTCATGATGATTATTACACATATCATTTATGCACTGCTCCAGTTGACTAATTTTAATATTTAATTGTGTGTTTGTGCTATCATATGAACATTGACTTTTAAATACATTTTCTTTACAAGATTTCCATTTCTTTTTTAAAAGTGCATGTTGTTGGCTAAGTAATAAGTGATATTTAGAATGATTTTTCCTTCTAATTAATTTGTTAGTTTTTTTAATGAATTTATTAAGCCGGACATATTTTTTAATTCTTTTGCTACTCATAAATAGGGAACCAGTTGGGTTTGACTTAATGCACCCAATATCAATATTATCACATTGATCATTTACCATACCTGGATCACTGCTGTTCAACTCACTGAACAGGCTCTGAGAGGCATCAGCTTCTATGGCAACCTTATTTTCAAGTATTTGCATAGTTTTATGTGCCTCTGACAAACTTAATTCCAAGTCACTGATGCGATTCAAAGCCTGCTCATGAGTATCATAGCACTGTTTATAAGAGTCAACAATATCCTGTAAATGCACACACTGATCCACAATATCTGAATATTTAATATGTATTTCAGAAAGTTCACATTTAAGTTCAGTGTTTTTCTTAACAATATTCTGAATTTCCAGTTCACTGTCCTCACGTTCTCGCAGTAAACTATTATTGAGATCCTGCAATTTCTTCTGCTCCAGCAAAGCCTGCTTCAGTCTCATTTCAATATCTTTAGTTGTAGCTTTACGAGTCATCATTTTGTGGTGTTATTGTTATCTTTTTATGCACTAATTCTATTTTTAATTTAAATAAATATACAGAGCTAATGTTAAATGTTCCGCGATACCCGCAAAAAAAACAACAAATAACTTATGTTGAAGTTGCGTGTGCGCTGGGCCGCAAGTCCATTTAATCCGCTATTTTATTTTCCGCTAGTTAATTCCAGTCTTCAAAGTATTGCTTAAATGACGTAGGCTCTATTCCCTCAACTACCTTGGAAATGTGTACCTGAAATTACAAATAGATGTAACATTAATAATATAATATTCCTCTCTCCGTAAGATATACGACCTCTTTTGATATGATTTATTAAGTATATTTAAAACTTTCGTTTCTGAACGTAACATTAAGTGAAGTCGTAGATAGAGTATAAAACTAGATGAGCTTCTAAAATAACAATAATAACTAAAGAGAGAAGGCATTAACGTGAAATACTTAAGTGCGAGCGAAACAGAGTATCAGTTTTTCTGTCTATTTGCGTATCGGGTTTTATTTGTTTACCACCGAGCCCTTGGTGGTAAACAAATAAAACCCCTTTTTTTCATCTCTATTTTCGTACAGTAAACATAAACTCACCCATGACGGATAATTGTTAACCTGCAAATACTGTTCGGCTTTCTTCATAGCTTCAGATTTCTCCTGCAATACAACATTATTATTAAAAATAAATACGTCAAATTAAGCTTAGGTTTCCTTGAAAAGCGGTGCCGTTCTCTAACGGCCGTAATGTTACGTTGGGTGACGTCACCCATACGTTGTCTATAAATAACATCGGAGTAGGTTTTCTAGAGAACGTTGAGTGTCACCGTAACGTCAAATAGTGGTGCTGTCATTTGCATGACGGCCGTCATAGCGGTGAAGTCGTCGGAGGTCGTGTACAGATACCGGCAAACTTCTTGAGCATTAAAGCTCCCAGTGATACCTAAAAATCGCTTCTGCGCAGGCAAGGACATTTGTTCAAGATGTTTTCCGGTATCTATACTAATGTTAAACATGACATGGACTTAATCATTAATGTAATCCTGATTATGTAGTTATCGAATACAGGCTGTTCCTATTTAATTTATTTAACAAATAAACTCGAAAATTAATCACCAATTAAATACTAAATTTATTAATTAAAAACGTGCGACAAGCTGTTTTTCAGTTTAAGGTAATCTTGGCACTGTTTCGGCTCAAACCCATAATAATACATAAGGTCAAATTACCTGTCCGTTAGATTCCTTCCCTCTCCAGACGTAAATACTACTGCCAGTATCCAAAATGTAACACTCCTGAAAAAAGAAATTAAATTCTAACGTTATCCTTACTTTAATGGATAAACTCAAAAACTACCGAACGGATTTTCATACAATTTCCCCAAAAGATAGTGCAATTCCTGAGAGAGGTATAGGTGTATAATTCATTATGGTTTTATGTTAATTGACTGAAATATAACAATTATAAAAATCATGCCATGGTCCCAGTATTTCATAAGAAATAAATCGAAATTTCTTTAATCTGTGGGGGAACTAGCAAGGATGGTATACTATATTCTCCAACCAAAAGGAAGGATCCTGGACCTGTCTAACCGCTGACTGGCCGGTTCGAAGGACCCAGTGGCTATTTTTTTTTGGATTGGAATCTCGTTGTTGGCCTTAAGGGCATATTTTTATGCATATTCAGTAAGTCTGTGAATCGGCTACTATCTACTACCTTTCGAATCCCTAAGTGATAAGGGGTATCCACCAAAAAATTTTTTTTTATACTTAATTTTTTGTCAACCCTTTTATCAACCCCAATTTTTGATGTGAAACATCTATAGCCGCACGTAAAACCGATTTCTGGCGTGGCGACGCGTCGCCACGGCATGCGTCTCTATGATGGTATATATTTACAGTCTATATGCAATAGTATGTACGGTGTATGTATTTCGAAGTCACTGATTAAACGAATTAAGTAGTCACGATTTGAAATAAATTCGTAAATTTTGTATGTTGTAATGAAAATAATTGTTTATTCAATAAATAGTCATCGTAATCTGGAAAAAAAAATCGTAATTTTTTTTTTTATTATTATGACATATTTAGTTCCTATCACAATCTGTTTTTTTCTGCATATTACTTTTACAAAATAATGTCGATGTTTCACATGTGCCAGGCGTCCCGTGACGACTCACATTTTTTTTATTATATTAAATAGTTATTTTTATTGAACTAAAAAAATATTTCCTATATACATGGTGAATCGAAGTTTGCCGAGTCAGCTAGTAATACATATTATTCGAAAAAAATGGGGAAAAAAACCGGAAAAAAAAGCTATAAATCTTGTAATATTCGATGTTACCTTGGTACTAAGCAAATCTTGCGTGTAAGGAGGAGACAATTTCTTTATCTGAATGGATCCAGTGCTGTCAGATATTTCATTCAAGATAACCTCTTTAGTTACACCGCGTTCGAAGTCCTGAAAAAAAATATTTTTTAATTTAACACACAGAACAAACATAAATATAAACAATCCTGTTAACATTAGTTGTTAGCTTGGTTCCTATATTATATGTCCTTTCCAGAAATGGAAAATGTATCTCAAAAACTACGTAACCGATTTTAATGAAATTTTACAGACTGACTGCCCAATTGAAATATAAAAAAAAACAATACAAGCTTTTGGGTCTGATCCTCAAATTTCTGTATCTGTTTCTGTATTATTTCTGACTTTTTGGGTCTAACGAATGCAACTGCAATGCAATGTTATGCGCACATTGACAAAAAGTTCATGGGCGCTCACGCACGCACGCACCTTAGTACGTACAACCTGAGAGATGGGAGTTGCAGGCTAAACCCATAAGGGCAACACTGCAATTGGAATACACCTGAAGTTAAAAATCACTTACGACGTTTAGCACATTGGAAGTAACGCTAAAATTACCTTGAAATAATTGATTCTAAAACTGTTTATTTTTTAGTTTATATACAGTTTTAATTTTTTTGTTATTACTAACAAAAAAATATTGACAAAATGGCAAAAAAGTCTTTATTAGAGGACAAAGTAGTGAAGAAAATAACGAAATAACTACGCCTAGTTACAATTACGACTGGTATTGATATTGGATATAGACAATTTTAATAAAATTAAATAATTCGCTCAACCTTTTTTATATTTCTTTAACTATATTATAACTCATTAAAAAATAAGTATTTATACAGACACAATATACAAAGTACCTCATCATCACCACCCTCTTCAGCATCAGGAACAGAATCTTGATCACCAGAACCGAGTGCTGAGAAGAATTTGGTCACATCACCTTCGCTTGAGTATGGATCTGTAATTGATACATTTGGTTTTCATTAAACAATTCAAGTTTAATCAATATTAATAAGATTTTTATATCCTGTTTCTGGACATATAATATTGTAATGTTCCTAGGTAAAAAATAAATCGTATTTCTTTCCTTTTTTGACATCTGACAAATCGGTCCAATTTTTGTTTAATTAATGCTGTAATGGGGTCAATTTATTTTTTACACGCTTTATATTAGCTTCACCTGTATGTATGTAACCGACTCCTTCGGACTCGATTTTGACCCACTTTAAAGGGACAGATTTAATTCAAACTTTGTACACTTATAAAGAATCAGCGACAATATAATAATTTCATAGGTTTATCTCGAAAAACAATGAATTTTTTTAAGTCCACAAAGCAATACGGTTAAATTGAGACAACACGTATTGCTGCTAGGACTAAAAAGTGGAAAATAAATATACACTCAAAACCGTTTATAACGACATCGTTTACAACGACCTATCGGTTATTACAACCAAATTGTATGGTCCCGTCCGAATCCCTAGTAAACTATTCAGTAAACAATCCGCTTATAACAACATCGGATACAGCGACATATCGCTTACAACGACGAAATTTTATCGATATTCATCGGCTATAACGACCAACCGCTTTTTGTCTTAGAAAAACAAAACAATACAAACGATTTTAAATCTTATTTATAAGCATTGAATGAATATTAGGCATATTTTTACCTACGCACTTTCTCCCGCCTCATCCGGACCTCTTCCCGGCCATTTGACCTTGCATACTTTACACATGTTTTGTTCGCTAATTGACTGCGTGAGTAACAGTTTGATTTAAAAGTGTTGGTGTTGTTTAGACTATACAATTGTGCATTTGTGTTATCATGTCGCAAAAAAATAGAAAAGTGTTTTCTATTGAAAAAAAACCTCATGTCATATGGATAAAATGCAAAAAATATTTGAGACTGGGCTAAAAAAAACAGACCAAAATGATTACTTTTGTACCTAATTATTTCGTAATAAATATTTTTGTTTCTTTTTTGACTCCTTTACATATTATAATATTAACATACCATATTATAACCCATACCTACCTATTCTAGATAACTATGATAATATAACTATGTACATACATATGTACTGTACTTGTGTATATGACATTGCTCATAACGACTATCGGATATAACGTCGGCAACTATAAGGTCCCTTCAATGTCGTTATAAACGGTTTTGACTGTAGTTTAAAAAAATAAAAAACACGCCTTTAAAGCACATCAAACTAAAAAGTGAAAAATAATTCCTAGCACAGAGCGCCCCACGCTTTTACACAATAATACCAGTATTTTTTGTTCATTACCATTTTCAGCCTAAATTAGGAATTATTTTTCACTTTTTAGTTTGGTGTGCTTTAAAAGCGTGTTTTTTAGTATTTTTTAACTATATTTATTTTAAAAATATTATCGTATCTTTACGGTCAATCAAAATAATAATATGTTTTTTTATATTACAATGAGGATTCCTTTATTGTGAAATATTTCTTCACAAGTAATCTTTTTAATCAATGTTTGAACTCTCCTATGTTACCCTCAGTCGAATTAGTTCGATTCTTCAGTAGGTAACTGGTTCCACATAGTAGGCCAAAAATTGCTTAAGGCCCTATGCCAGCACGAATTGCTGTGTCAGACGTCAGTCTCGGGGTGGACTGCGGTGCGCAGTGGAGAGCTGGAGCACTGAGGCCCGTAATAACAATTAGTTATGTAAAACATTAAATTAATGTAATTTTATCATTTTTTTCTGAAATGGATTGCTTGGCTTGCGATTAAATATATCGTGTAAATTTCAAAATCATGTTCTATACAAATTTTCGTCATAAAATGAATTCAAACTGTCAAAAACTGGCTATGTTTGGATTTTATTTTCTATCAAGCGAAGTTAACTAAATCGTGTATCGATCTTTCAAAATGGATACATTATCAAGAAACGATGACGAAAAAAGGAAAGAATCAATGTACTTTTTTGGAGTTTGGCGACCAGATAGGTCCTTAAAGAACGCTCAGTTCTGGAACGACGGACGTCGAGGTGGGTTTATTACTGTCATTATATCAATATGTATGTAATCAGAATTGAAAATACGAAATAATGCAGTCTAACTGAAAAAAAAATATGCCCGGCAAAACATGACTTACCTTATTCAATTTTGATGAGGAATCAAAATGATCAACTAAATTCAAGTCTATATATCTTACCAATAATCTCGATATTTCCCCGTCCACTATGATCCTGGTCCCTGATCTGGTTGGCCACGGAGATGGCCTTCAGCCTCTCCACACTCTTGGCCTGGTCTCCGACGTACAGAAGTATATCGTGATCCACATCCAGGATAAAGCAGTCGCCTTTGTTCATTGATGTTATTGAAGCTTCCACCTGAAATTAAACATGGCTTTTACGTGAATATATGATTGATATTTTTTGTTGTTTGTAATTTTTTTAACTGTTTATAATACATACAGTAAGTGTCCGAGACATTAATAAATGTCAGACCAAAAAATAAAAAAACTGACATAACATATTAATGATAATTTGAAAATATATGTCAAGTTTTAAACATATGTATGTATATAATAGCGGCCTTCACACGTGCAGTTCGGAATGGCATTTCTGGAACTGCGCACCAATCTGCAGATAAATCTGTGCAGACTAGACCGCGCGCTGATCTGTGCTTCTACTTTACGCTTCAATTGTAATAACAGTTTGAACTGCGGTTCAAACTGTCTATTTCGCTTTCCTGCAGATAAAACTGTACGTATAAATGCTTTTCGAGAGTTTAGATCGCAGTATGGAATGGCGCGTGGAATGTCGACCAATTTTAAAAGTTTTCTTTCAGTTTTAACCGGTACAGTAGAAATGGTTACACTTCGAGTGATCGCGTTAGCTGGTTTTGTGGTTGGTTTTAATAATCTAAAAAGGAGACGTGTATGGGTTAAGAAATATAGACGAAAATTTGGACATTTACCCATGTTAAAAGAAATACGAGAAAACTATCCAGAAGATTTTAAAAATTACCTACGGATGGACGGCGATAATTTTGATTACTTATTGGAACTTATCCGTCGCAGAATTACTAAGCAAGATACAGTTATGAGAAAATGCATAACACCAGAAGAACGTCTTTCCGCAACATTAAGATATCCCGATATATCCTTATAAAACCTGTCACTGCTTCCACGCTCCAAACTGCCATTTTGAAATAATTGTCATCCACACGAGGCACCCGCATAAAACTGTACAAACGTTCGCACACACCAATGCGCCGCATCGAAATGTCAAACCACCACGCGCTTGTCACGTCTACACGGACGGATTGGACGACAGATCGGAATGGCGCGGGCTGTTTCATACGGTTCGAACTGTACGTGTGAAGGCCGCTAATGTGTTTATGTCACCTGGTTTTGGCAATAAATTAATAATTTACTGAACTAGTAAGCTACTGTCCGGACGGACAAAGTTTTGAATTGTGTATTTACATAAAAGAAAAAAAATTGCGCTGATGAAGAGGTAATCGTCAAAAATAAAGTTATTTTGAAGCTAAAGAATTTGTCTTTACAATGGTATAAAAAAATTGTATGACCGCTATCGCTCTCGAAGAATTAAATCAAATTCTATCAAAAAAGTAGTCGAACTTTTCATATTCCAAAATATATAATACGGACCAAAGAATTTAATTTTAGGTTTTTGAGATGTGTAAATAACGTTTATTAGTAATCATAACAAATATACAGTATTAACAATTTTCTTAACCTACATAGTAATAAAAATAATTATAAATTAATAAATAATAAAAAGAAAATTAAAATAAATTTTAAAAGTTGGGTCCCTGTGGCAATGTACCTTTAACGCTGGCAGCGTTATAATATATTTTTGTTACTTGAATTTTTCTTAATTATGAAATTTCTAATATCTTTTTTCTAAGCATTCTTGAAATAAATGATTGTTTTATCTCACCTGTCTTACTCTTACATTCCTCTTTCCCTTGATCTGAAACAATCGCTTCTCTGCGCCTGCGTTTACGCTTACGTGGTTGAAGCCTGACGCGTGACCGCCTTCCAAGTACCGAATTGCTGGAATTGGTAAAATAATTAAGTATTTGTATATATATTTAATCATATATATATATATATTTATATCATAGCATTTATTAATATTATAAATGCTGCTGATTTTTTGGTGCTTCCGATTTAATTTTTATTATATCTGGTGCTTTACGCTAATAAGTGATACAGGGACTACTTATATTAAGTATATAATAAGTGAACTTCGTATCACGTACATATTTAAAAAAATAAGTGCCGCTACAACCTTTTTAGGTCTGGGCCTCAGATTTCTGTATCTGTTCCATGATGATTTGTAAATCTAATAGACAAGTAGGTGATCAACCTCTTGTGCCTGACACACGCCGTCGAATTTTTGGGTCTAAGGCAAACCGGTTTCCTCGGGATGTTTTCCTTCACCGTTCAAGCGAATGTTAAACGCGCACGTGGACAGAAAGTCCATTGGTGCACAGCCGGGGATCGAACCTATGACCTCAGGGATGAGAGTCGCACCCTGCTCATTTGTGTCAAAACTTAATACAACATTTTTAAAACAGACCAAATCGGACCTCATACTACAGCTGATATAAAACACAAATTTCTGAATCTATAAATATCGACAACCAAGTGACCATTTTATATCTATAAAGATATCAAATATTGTTTTTTATTAATTTTCTTTACTTATCTTATATTTCCCATACTCATTATACTGGCCACCATACCTGGTTCAAAATATCCCAAGAACTGCCTGGATTCGTGGCCTTGCGTCTCCCGGTGCTGTATAGCCAGACCTTGGAACCGCTCATCATCCAGGTTGACTGTTAAAATAGCTGCCGCACCGGCTTCATCTTGGCTCGTTTTGGATCCCAGCCAGAAGTGAACGTCCCAAGATAGATTTGATGAACCAGTGGTCTGTTAATATGTGTATAAACTAATACATATGTATATATAAATAGATGTACCTACGCTGGTTTGTAATGAAAAGTTCGACTAAAGCTTTTATAAAGCTTTATAAATATTAGGGAGCAAGTTTAAAATAATTATATAGATATAAACGGGCAGGAGGCTCACCTAATGTTAAGTGATACCGCCGCCCATGGACACTCTAACTACCCAGAGGGCCCGCGAGTGCATTGCCGGTATTTTAAGAATTGGTACGCTCTTTTATAGAAGGACCCAAAGTCAAATTGGTTCGGAAATACTTCAGTGGGCAGCTGGTTGCACATAGTGGTGGTGCGCGGTAATAACTGCCTTAAGAAACGCTCAGTTGTGGAACGAAGGACGTCGAGGTGATACGGATGGAATATCGTATTCTGCATCGACCTCCGATGAAGAAAATAAGCTGGAGGTCCGAACAACTCGTCTGAACCACAACCTACTAGAGTAGGTTATCAAATATATTATAATAACTATTATTATTAACTAGCTGCCCCCGCGAACATCGTTTCGCATTTCGCTTTAATAAGATTGGACATTTGCTATTCTACCCCATAGAGACTGTTCGCTTTTCCGGAATAAATAACTAAGTACCTACTAAACTATTTTTTTTAATATTTTTCAAATTTTTCACTCTATTAATACATTTCTCAGAATTCAAGGAATAGATAAAAAAAATTATTCAAATTGGTCCAACAGTATTCTATTATAGTTTTGCGCTTATTAACATATTTTGGGCTTTTTCTATGTATTTTTTATATCTATCAGGTGATGGCGAGCTAATTTGGCTAATTTCATCAGTCTCGTGTTAGAGCGAGTACAAAATAAATTCACCCGTTACCTCTACAAGAGACAGTATGGAGTGTATCCCTTGTATCCGCTTATGTACCCGACCCTGTTTGTTCTGGGTATGTGGGTTATGACCAGCTACGCCTCAGAAGAGAGCTAGATTTGGCAGTGTACTTATTTAAGATACTTACGGGTCGGGTTCATAATCTGGATATAATGGAGAGACTACGGGTGCCAAGTAAGTTGTATTAGTATTAAGTTACTGTAAAAATAGGAAATAAGGAAATAAATAAATAAATAAATAAAAACCTGAGGCGGAACTCTCAACTTTTGGAAGTACCGCGCGCACATTCCAACTTGGTTAGCGAAGCGCCACTCCCACGAGCAATACATACAATAAATAGGATTTCTGTTAAGGTAGACCTATTTGTTTGTACACTGGCTGAGTTCACAAGAGTTGCTTCCTATATTATTAGTTATAAGATTTAGGTATATAAATATATTTTTTTAATGTTTTTTATCTAGGTTAATCGGTGTGGGTATCAATATTGTGTCGTTCTATCGAATTAGTTATTACTGTAAAGATAGAATAATGATATGGAATAAAATAAATAAATAAAAATAAAAAATCCTCGCCTCTCTCTGCATCATTACTTTGGTACGTGAAGAATTTCATGTACAAAGCAACATTTTCTATTGTGAATCACTTGTTAATTCATTTCCTTATAATCTTATTAGGACAATCTTTTTTCTGACTCAATAAATAATTAACCTGTTTGTAAAAATAACTTATAAACCTCTATAGTAATCTTGTCTTGTATCTAGTATATCTCAATTTATCGGACTACATTTTTCGATTGTTCCTATTTTCTACTCTAAGAATTTATATTTTAATATTTATTTAGTTTTGTTTGTCTATTTAACTTGCTTTTATAGACTGGGCGCGGATTACAATAAGCAAATATTTAACTAATATCAATATTATCTGTGCTTATCTGACAATTGTTGACATGAATTGTCATCGTCATTAACTGTCACGGTATTGACAATACTTCAAACTAAGCAAATGCGCGCGTAAATTAAAACATTTTTGCGTTATGCATCATAGAACATCACGTCACAGACTACCGCAGTCATTAGTTTTTTTCCTTTTGTCCCATTTTCCCGTGTCTTAGCCTATTCCACAGATCAACTGTTTGGTGTCATTAATTTAAAGAATTACGCGGACGTTCATTATAGTTCCCAAGAAATCTCTATAATATATATAAAATTCTCGTGTCACAATATTCGTTCCCATACTCCTCCGAAAGGGCATGACCCATTCTTATGAATTTTTTTATGGATATTCAGTAAGTCTGAACGGCTACTATCTTTTACAAAAATACATACAACCCTTAATTTTCACCCCTCTACGATCAACCCCTATTTTTTAATTGTTAATTTTAATCTTATGACTTTAACTCTGAGGTTTATATAGAGAAAAGTTCACAGAAAAATCTAAAAAAGTTTTCATTCCAGAAAACCGAACAGTCTCTGGGGTAGATAGCAAGATGTTTCATGTTGGTATGTACTAAAATGGTAGGCTAAGTAAAATCACACACATTAAGAAGAAACGAAGTTCGCGGGGGCAGCTAGTTTATTATAAAAATAACTATTTCACTTCCACTGATCGATTTTTTAAACAATGAGCTTAACCTATTATAATTTATAACTATATTTAAGTAATCCGGGACGAAAATGACTCGATACGAACGTTGTCCATTAATTAAGGTAATCACAATTAAAAATAATACTTAACAATTAACTCCTGACTCAACGAATAATTGACTTGCTTCTGAAGAATGTTGTTAAATGAATGAAATATGTTATGAATAAGTATAATAATATATAACCTCCTCAAACTATCACGTTATCTTGAGCAAAACTTTTAATACAATTGTTTTTTTACTAAATGTTATTAACTTTATTTTTGTAAGCTTTCCTTTTTTGTAATATTTACGTGAAATGGTGTTGATATTTCATCGAAATGGCAAAGTCTAAGAACCACACAAACCATAACCAAAACCGCAAGGCCCACAGAAATGGTATTACGAAACCTACTAAGTTCAGGCACGAATCTACTCTTGGTATGGATCCTAAATTCTTAAGAAATCAAAGGTTCTGCAAAAAGGGAAACTTGAAGCCTGCCAAACAAGTAGCACGTGCTGCTGAAAGAAAAGCTAAAAGAGAAGCCAAGTCAAAAATGAATTAGTGTTTTTTTTATCCCAGATCCAGCCTAGCTGTTTAATCAACTGGCTGAACATCTTTCAGGCCGCGAGTTAAATGGCTAGGCTGTTAATTGAACGGCTAATTAAGCTAGTTGGCTGCGACATATATACAATTTAGGTATTTTTCTAAACGTCACACCGACGGAAAAACGCAAAAACCAGTTTACACTACGATTTTACACAAATAACGTTTTATAGTAAATTACCTTTAGAACAATGTAAGAATCCCCCGCATAGAAGTTTCCATACTGATGCTTCGGAACGGCAACGGGTTCGAAGTCCTGAGAAACAAAAAATATTAATTACAAAAAACAGTACCGTATCTTGAGTCTCATTAGATTACTGTATCTGGGCCATCACTCTGTAATTTCTATAGCGATCGATACAAACAGGGATCCCGCTCTCAATAATGAGTTTATATGATCTCAAGGCTACATCAGCGCTACGGATATTGAAAGAAGTAAACGAATTTGTTTACAAAAACGGCGGTATCATTCTCGCTATTGAAAGTTACATAGTAACAGCTGTTTATTGATATTTTTCTTAATAGGCAAGTAGGTGAGCCTGTGTGACATATTTCATTTTGTGTCTGAGGCCTGAAGCATCCTCACGATGTTTTCCTTCACCATACGAGAGAGTGTTAGTTATTTAAACCCTGGAAAATTTTATATTCCTTCGTCTTAGGAGTAGATAATTTTTAACAAGCTTCATTTTTCTACTTACATTGAGATTTTTTTTAATTATATATTTATTTTATATCGCAATTTACTTTTAGGTATATTTTAATGTTATTAAGAAAAAAACTAAACAGGAACAAAAAACAAACTAAACATATAAAGGATACATGAAAAATAAAAATATTACGTTCTATCACATTAGCAACAAAAGGTAAAAAAATGATGTGGAATAGATAAATAAATATACGTGGACAACTCAGCCTCGATTGCCTCCTTAAAGGTGATATCAGACGGTTCATTTTTTGTTCATTTTCACCTTTCATTCGGTACATTTCACTCGAAATGAAATGTCTGAACAAAAAATGAAACACGAGTGCCGAATGAATTCATTAGTGAACCGATCCAACAGTGTTGGATATTGGCATCCGGTATCTTTCATTCCCACTCCGAATGAACGAGAAATGAACGGTCTGAACACTGAGAGAACGTTCATTCGGATTCGGCCATTTTGTTTCGAGTCCTGTAGCCGACGGACATCACGTTGTCGACGAAGTTATAACTTTTTTTTTAACTTTTCTTCAAATTTACTTTCATCCATTCGAAGATGATTACAATATGAATCAGGATCTTCAACGGCTAGTTCTCTCAACAATGTATTGGAAGCTCCTAATAAATTTATTCTTTCAATCCATGGTCGCACCCACCACCGTCGACATTTTCTTTGCTTCTTTTTTGTCAACTCTTTGATTAAATGATCACAAATTAAACTAATTCCAAGACGTACGACTTCATTCGATGACATATTTAAAAGAAAGAACAATGAATGTTCATTTCTGTATCATTTCGTCTAAGCCGTGTGAACATAGAATGAAAAAAAATGAAGCATTCACTCGAGTGAACAATCATTCGAGTGAACCGTCTGATATCACCTTTAAGGACTGGCATACATAAGCATATGTCATTGAAACCTTTCTTGTGTCAAGAGACTTCTGAATATAAAAAATTGGATACAATAAAATATTTTCCTTGTAAAAATGTAGTTAAATCACGTTAATATCGTGTGGTCTTAGATTTCTTGTTACACGCCAACACGTCTCAAAATAAACCACATAAAACTGTAAGACAAGATGCAAACGAAATAACGATTCCAATGTGTTGACGTAAACTTTCCAAGATATAATTAGGTTTATTGAGTTCGCAACGAGGGAATCCAATGTACTCTCAATACTCTTGCAACTTTATGAGGAAAAAGTATTAAACAATATAGAATCTGAATAATAGAATACTTCAGTGGGCAGCTGGTTCCACATAAAGGGCTCCCACACAAAACTGCGATGCGATGCGATGCGAATTCACATCGCAGGAACTAGCGATGCGAATTTTTGCGATACGATTTAGTGCGTCAAACCGTTTGGTAGGGCGACCATTCCTTCGAAGTCAGCCGTACTGAACGTGTTTTTAAGAAGCGTAAGATGGATCGCAAAAAGATTATTGCACTGCTGTTATTGTTAAATAGATATAAAAGAAAAAGAAGATTCTGGGTTCATCCATTCATTACGATTATGAACTCTGATGGGAACTGTTTTATTGTATGCGTTGAGAACCGAAGAAGATACATTTTTTGATTATTTTAGAATGAGCATATCTTCATTTGAAGAGCTTTTGAGTATATTATCACCATGCCTTCAAAAACGATCGTACAAAGGAAGAATTCCTGTTATGCCTTTGGAAATGCTGGGACTGACTATCAGGTCAGGACCAAAGGACGGGATGCTCCTCAATTAAAGTACTAAAGAATATCGTTACAATGGTTACCGATACGGTTTTAACCTTCGTTTTATTTCAAGAAAATAATAATAAAATAGACTCTAATGTACTAGAGTTTCTTTTTTACTTTTTTTGGTAAAACAAAAGAGGTTGACATACCTCTACTCTCCAAATCTCCAAACCCGCAGATTTACCGGCATTTTCAAACGCTTGATGCAGTTTTGGCATTCTGAAACAAAGGTATAGGATCACCTAAAAAGTCATTATATACATGTGTTTACAATGTATAAATCTCTATATGTATATATAAAATTCTCGTGTCACAATGTTCGTTCCCATACTCCTCCGAAACGGCTTGACCGATTCTTATGATTTTTTTTTATGTAAGTCTGAGAATCGGCTACTATCTATATTTCCAACACCTAAGTTATAAGGGGTGTCCACCCCAAAATTATTTGTTTATTTTTTAAACATTTTTTTTTGTTTTTATTTTTTTATGATACAGCACACAAAAATACATACAACCCGAAACTTTTACCCCTCTACGATCAACCGCTATTTTTTATTATTGTACGTAGTTATTTTTATTGAACTAAAAATGTTTTTCCTAGAAATAATATACATAATACATGGCAAAACAAATGTTTGCCGGGTCAGCTAGTAATATATAATATGAAAAGTACAGAAAACACCAAAAACCACTAAGGTGTGTATGTGGGGTATGCTCATGATGGTGGTGATTTTGCGCAATGGATATTCTTAATACTCCTTTTTACCATTCTTGAAAATCGGTCGAGCCATTTCGGAGCGAGTTTAATTACAAACACTGATACGAGAATTTTATATATAGGTATAAATTATGTAAAAAAAGTAAAACTACAATAGAATCCATTAAATCTACTATCGGACCATGTAAAGTAAATATTTAAGTTGGTTAATTGACAGTATCGGTGAATCAAGAACTGCTTTCCAACAGCAGAGAGCATTATTATGATGAATGAAGCAATGTATTTTTAAGATCACATTAAAACGCACACTAACACTACACATTCCACACACACCTCAATCTAACCTAATAAATTGTCTTGATTACAATATTATTCAAAACATTACAAAATCATTAATATTATAATATTTTAATGTTTTAGTATTCTTCGTATATATATTGTGTAATCCGTTTTGGCTAATAATTTTTTAATTAAAAATTGTAAATATTTAATAAATAAAAAATAAATTTATTATGGCTATTATGGCTTTAAATTCTAAGTTATTAATATATGTTTATTTCCAACACACAAATATACAGTATTTAGAATTTTCTGAATAATAATAATAATAAAAATTTTTGTCCCTGTGGCAGTGTACTTTTAATCATTAGTTATTTAATTATTAACAAATTATTCATTTTATCCTCATAGTTTCGTTATAATTAATACTATTAATGTAACTACTTTATAAATTTCAGTTAAATTTAAAATAAACTAAAAAATATTTTTCCTCAAAGTGGGAGTGTTACGAACAAAAACAGTCCGACTCGACTCAATATTTTCACATGCAAACAATAGATAAAGCGATAAAAATGTTAATTATGTTACTGTGTAAACAAATAAATGATTGATTGTATAAACAAGCTTATGAATAACCTAATTTAGTAGCGATGACTTTGGCTGGTCTTTTATTAGTTCATTTAAAATATGATTAGCAAAAACCGAAACTCCAGAATTCTTAAGTAAAAGAAAAAGATTACTTCGTGTTTTTATTCTATAATTCAGAAATTTATTAAGTAAGAAATACAGAATGTATTTGAAGTATAAAACTGAGGGTCAAGAGGGGTCCGGTAGAGGCCTGGTGAAGTTCTCGTAAATATATAAATTGCAGTTGAATTACCCACTTAAGATAACGTTACTCGTAATGATAGTAATAACTAATAATACTATAAAGAATTTATTATTCTTTTGCATTGCATCGCAATTCATAAATCAGTGAGATTAGTTTAAGTTTTTAGTTTATTATATAATTTTTTTCGTTTGATTTTAGATTAATTTTTTTTTATAAGATGCGTTTGGTTATGCGCGTCTTGCACTTTACCCATCATATTTCTTTTAAAAGTATTTTTCCTTACTAGAGTTGTCTGGAAGAGATCGCTAGTCAGCGATAAGACCGCCCGTTGAATCTCTTATAGTTTGTATGTTATTTGTTTTTCTTAAAATATAACGAAGTGTAAATAAAAAATAATTAAACGGTCTAGTTAAACAATTGAACTACAACATGACAGCGTCCTTCACGCATTATTCATGGCAGTACGCAATGGATCGCGATTTTATTAACAGACTTTAGCAATGGGATTTATATATAATATGTTGAAGAATCACATCTTCATAAAAGTATAGATTATTTTATGTAATAGGTCAACTGAAGTGAAGATTAAGTGTTCATACAAAATATATAATAATATTTTTTAATGGAAAATTGTAATTCGAAAAAAAATTGCTCAATTCTCGGTATAAGTGGTTCACAGCTTACACGGTTTTCTTTACAAACTAAAATATATATATTTTTCTTCAATAGTTAAAGGAGGTGATCAGCCTCCTGTGCCTGACACACGCCGTCGACTTTTGGGTCTAAGGCAATCCGGTTCCCTCATGATGTTTTCCTTCACCGTTCGAGCGAATGTTAAATGCGCACATAGAAAGAAAGTCCATTGGTGCAGAGCCGGGGATTGAAACTATGACCTCGGATGAGAGTCGCACGCTGAAGCCACTAGGCCAACATTGCTCAAACAAAAATACATTTTGACTAAATCTTCCCTTCAGTTGACCTATTACAAAAAACAATCTATACTTTTATGAAGATGTACTCATTCCCAAGGTTCAAAATTCGCAAAATTCCTTCTGCAAAAACCAACTTAGGAGTTCAGGCACCTCTCTTTCGAATTCGTCGCGATATTAACGGATTAACAATACTTATCCGGAGCTGGATATTCGGCAGTGGGCTGATCGGTTTTAGGAAGCATTGTTAAGTGTCTATCTCTAACGAAATCCGATGTTTTGCTGGTTATTTTTATTTCTGCTTCAAAAATATTTCTGGTGTTTTTATTTTGTCTTTAATTGTATTTTTTAATTTTTATTGTGACATTTATGTTTTGACAAGTAGGTTTAGTAGTATGTATGATGTGGTAAACTTTAATAAATAAATACATTAAATAAATATGTAGTACTTCTACGTATATATGTATCCCCTTTGCCGTTAATGATACCAATACTTCTATTGCCATAAATAAAGCGCAATGGACGTTGTCATGTTGCAGATCAATTATATAACTATTCATAATTTAATAAAAATAGTATAAGTAAAATTAATAGTATTAGTATTATTAACTATTAAAATAATACAAGTATAAGTTCTCTAATTGGATAGATAAATGTTACAAAATCCTTGGAGTAGGTATCTCATCTTGAGATGAGATAATGACTCCATCAGAGCAGTATTGTTTTTATATACATAAATCTATTACATCATTAGTAGGAGAATAATGTAGCCATTATTTTCAAGTGTCTAACACTAAACACATGCCAATGATGTTATCACTGATAATGCCTTCAATGATAGTACAAGTACACGGTTATATATTTAAAGAATAAACTCAAACTAACTTTATTCATATAGGTAACCAAGTACACTTATGAACGTCAACAGAAAAAGATATTAAATTGATTCTAAATTTACATTTGCTAACAGTTCAAGTCAAAGGCGTAGAGCGGGCAAGAAGAACTGGCAAGAAACTCTCCGCCACTCCTTAATCGCCAAGTTTAGAGTCATACAAATTGTTTGAACTGGAGCAAATCAATCCCAAGTATTAGAATCATTTAAATTTTCGTCAAATTTATTAAAAGCTTTATTGATAACGTTTAATTTAAATTCAGTGACACGCTGACCATTAGTGATAAGAACTTGGAATGTATTAACATCGCGTTAGTAGTAAAGTTTTGTTTTAATGTAATTTTTAGTATATAATATGACCTTAGTATTTACTTTTTAATACTGTTATTCTTGTGAAAGCTTTCGAAGAAATTTCTTGTACGAAATATCTAAATTCTAGAACTCTCCTTTTGCACAGTAAAAACATCCCGCTGTACACAAAATTAAATAAAATCTTATTTCTCGTGTGGTCAAAATCCATTAATTATTGACGTTCAAGAGTCAGACTTAGCGCTGTCTTGTTTCTGAATACTGAAATAGTAATCTAAGGTAAGAGCGTACCAATTCTTAAAAGGCCGGCAACGCAATTGCGAGCCTTCTGGCAATGTGAGTGTCCATGGATCACTTAACATCAGGTGCGCCTCTCGCGCATGCCTCCTATTACATAAAAAAAGGTCTAGGCGCTTATGTCTATGTCAAATCTAATACGTTTATGACCCACGGGATACTAAGCGCTGCGTAACCATTATCTAATATATCATATACTACATTGAGTATATTATGAAAGAAATAAAAAAAACGTGTGTGTACACGCGTTAGAAGTTATACTTCTTTGGCGAAAGAAGATAAAAATATTTTCAAAAATTTTATTCTACATTTGTAGAAAAAATTACACGAACAATAGAAAAAACTAAAATATTGACTATATCTAACTTCAGAGTGTCGGTTTTCTGTGACGATGTGCGCACGCATCGTAAAAATTTTCTCTCATAATTATTCCCTAACGCGCCAAAAGAAGTATAACTTCTAAAACTTTATTACACATAATAAAATAGGAGGTTTAGTTAAAATAGCAAGTGCACTAGCCCCCCTCACTAGAATTCCCTGCTAGTGGGCAAGTAGTCTCTTTCATTTGACATATTGATACGAGTTAGGGGATCGGATCGAAAACGCCGTAGATCTCTTCAGGGGTTTATTTACAAATAAATCAACGAGGAATTTGTTTACACCAACATAAACGCAAAATACGCGCAGAAATACACTAACTATTTTGTGTGTCTTAAACACACAAAATTCTGTCACTAATTACTTTAATTACGCGCTTGGACACAGAATTTTTCACTTGTCTTCACTATTCGCACTTTATCTCTTCAAATTTATTGGTCGCGTTTCGGCTCGCTTATATATCCCTGGGAATAATCTTGAACGATGTTCGAGAACTCTCTAGGCAGGATTGGTACTGAGTAGCGGTTGTACAATTCTAGAACGTACGTACTCTTTGTCTCTTTCTCTCATTGCTCCATTCTTGT